GGGCAATGCGATGACACTGCGTCCGTTCGCGTGTCTGACCCACTGTGATCGCTGGTTCGAGCCAGTTACCAGCCGACTTTACTGAGCAACAAAGAGGGTACTTACCCTACCTGTCGTTCGGAAACGGTCCAAGTACGCCTCGCGGTCCTCGTCAGCTTCCGCCGGGAGCCACACGCAATTCTCTGCCTCAGCGCAAGCCCAGATACGCTGATGATACTCCTCTACCGTTTCGTCCTCCCCCTGCTCGACTCCTGCCTGCTCTTCAACGAGTCTCTGCAGACACGCGGCTGCGTCCTTCAGCGTCCCATCCTTGTACCCCTTGTTGTGTTTCTTGGTCTTCTCCCGCCGACCCTCGCTGAGTATGGCTTGCACTTGAGGATCGCTTAAGGAAGATGTGAGCAGCTGCTTTTCTCCCTGCGTGAAGTCCCGCCTTGTACTCGATGTCAGTCAACCGGTCTACGACAGCTCAAAATTATTTACCTTTGCTTAGGGTGCCCAGCCATCGTTCCTTAGAGAAGTGTTGAGAGCCCTGGGGAAGGCGCGTGCTGAACAAACCAAGTCTTCAGGTCCTTGGATGGACCGCTTCGAACGGACCGGCCTCCAGGAACGTTGCTCGACAGACCTTCGAGAAAGATCAGGTGAAACGGTTTCCACTTACCTCTCTTCGGGCCTAGCGTCAGCGGGTAACTAGAGCGAGACATAAAAGTAGATTACATCAACAAGAAATATACAGGCGTGCGTCGGATATGAGAACAAGACAAATGGCAATTAATCAAGAAAAATTTTAAGCTTATAGCGTGATACGTTCGAGGTCCAGGTCGCGGTAAAATGATTGCGGCACTTCGCGGGGGACGGCAGCGGCTCTCCCGAACTTCTTGTACGCAGTTTCGCAGTAAAAGACTGTCGCAGCGTGTTCAAAGTCCTCGAGTGCCTTCTGAGGCGCGCCAGTATCGAGACGTTGTTCCCGGAAGGTAGCAGGACAGCCGTCCCAGCGGACGAGGAGCTGACGCAGCCCCTCGAGGCTCGTGCACCGGTCTCGAATATTCGAAGCACTTAAACCTTCTTGCGGCGGCGGGAGGTCCGGTCGCGACCAATGTGTTCCAGGGAAAATCTGGGAGAGCAGCTCGGTGCTGCGTCGGACATCCGTGGCACAATCTTGGGGCGCCATGCGGCGGTCAAGTTCGCGAAGCTCCACCCGAAACGCCACTTCCCCTAATTCCCAGGCGACCTCGCGCGCAACGTCGGCAGGCAACGGAAGTGTGTCGGCCCCCTCCGCAGGACAAATGAGCGGTACTTTCCAGCCCCTCCACGCGAAAGATCGAATCGCAGCCGTACGCAACGTGAACGGATGGTGCTCGAAATCAAGGAAAGCGGTGAAATAGTCGCACACGCTTTGCCTCTCATTAGACCTCTCCTTTGCGGGCTCGCGTCGGGCCTGCGAGCTAGGTCCGGGTGTGGCATTGCGGTCATTGTGTCGTCGAGCTCTGCTGCCAGATAACGCTGTGGCGTCACTCCCGCGACCTCGCGGTGTAGTCGGCGGTCCGGCTTTCCCGCTAGAATTCCGTCCCATCAATTTCTTCTGCTCCCAGGCCTTCTTCTCCTCCTCGGTCATTTCGGGGAACCGCTCCAGGATCAATCGCCAATAGTTCGGGGTCAGCGTCTCGTACAACGTGCGTCGGCCGAGCTTGCTAAATATGGCCAGGCGGATGGTGATCCAGTTCGAGACGTATACCATGAGCCGAAGCAGGCTCGTGGGTGTAATTAGGAGCTCGGGCTCAGGGAGCCACAGCCCGACCCGAGATTCGCACAGCTTGGTCATGTCCAGAGCCTCCAAACTTCCCCCCCACGCACCCATCCTACGAGGCAATAGATCATGCGCTTCAGGCACGAATCGGGCTGTAGCACGAACACGCTGAGGTGCTGGAGAAGTAGGCTCAGTAGCTGCACACAAGCTGACATACCACGACTGCTTACCCTGAGTTCGACCTGTCGTACGCCCTGAGCTTGGTCCTGGTTCATCCTCGTATTGCGTCAAGCCGAACGCAGCCGGCAGAGGCACGTCCTCGATGTCTAACACAGCCTCGGACTCGCGAGAGATAGCAATCAAGTGAGGTTCTCCGGCCTGCTCCGTACACCGCACGCCTCCCATAGCGACTGTCTGAGTCGTCTCAACCCCCTCAGGCCTAGTAAATTGGATCGCTGGTCGCCCTTCGATTTGGGGAGTACCGACAGTGTGAGAACGCTGCAACAACCATACTGGAACCCCGGCGACGAATAGCTTGCGAGCGATACCTGGGTCAGAACACACGGCCCCCATCACGCCGCTGTCATCCACTCCAGGCTCGAGAGGAATCAGACTGTCGTCATTCGCAACAGTCACCTCCGCACAACGTAATACGACCCCATGCCACCGCAGGAACGCCCAGCATTCCGCCCAGCATCGAAGAAGACGGCCACATCGACGAACGACGTCACGATAAGTCGAAGGGATCCCGAACATCGTCATGGCGTTGTGCATTGCAGCCTGAAGACGCCGCAAGTCGTCGATCACCGCCGGTTGCGCTGCACTTGACGATCGCTTGAAAGCTTGGACCTCTCCGTCCAGCTTATCGACGATCTTGCCCAAGGCGACCAGTCGAACCCGGCTCAGGTAGCCGAACGCCCCCCCAGACGCATCGTCGTTGGCCCGGATGAAGTCCTTGGAAGCGGGTGTTTGCCACAGAGGAGCGGCATCGGAGGTCGCCCTGGGAGCCTTGGGGATTAGGGCCAGATAGGGCTTGCTTTCGGAGTACAGCTGCGGCCAGTTGAGGGGATCCTCGATGCCAAATCTTCCATCGGGCCGAAGAATAATGTCCACACGGCCAACAACCAGCTGAGGTACCCACAGCTTGTTCAGAGCGACCACGACGTGAGTCCCACTGTCGGTGTTCGCATGGGCGCGACCGCGAGCCCAGGAGAAGTTTCGCCCCTCAGTCTGATAATCTACTAAATTAATCACTCAGGGCGATTCGAGACATCGACAGCGGAAGCATCACGTACCTTGAAGTGTCGTAGACGACGTAGCAGGAACCATGTAAGGTGGAAGGGCAGGTGGCGTGGGAGCGAGGGAAGCTATCGTTCGCGAGGTCCCCGGACGAGATTGGCGGTCAGCGGCCGGCGCCGTTTCGCGCTGTGTC